CCCTTGGTTCCTGTCATTTTTGACAGGAACCAAGGGCAGAGAAATATTAATTTTCTAAATTTTTTAGGGGCCCCATGGGCCAGATAGAATGGCCTTGCGGGCCAGATGTGGCCCGCAGGCCATATTTTGCCCACCCCTGTTCTAAGCAGCACATAACCAGCTTAATACATAACATTCGGAAAAGGAAAAGGCTAATTTTTTTTTTCAGATTTACTAATCTGAAATATTTTATTTTTATTTTACTGATGTCCCAGTTTTCCCTGATAGCACATTAAATGATGAAAGGGATGCAGGAAAAAAGCACAATTACATTCAACATCTCTCTTTAATGGGTAGACATACTAGAGTTCATAAAACTGATGCTCTCTTAACACCCTTAAAGAGTTGTCAAAGATTTACTCATGACAAAGCAGAAGCACAATTGAGTGACAAAAGTTTCTGAAGTGTTACAAAGAACCCCTCTATTCTGGAGATTGTGGCGCTCACCGCATTACAGCATCACTCCTATCAGAGGGATCTGCAGCAGCTGTCAAAAATGAGCAAACAGAATCACAGAATCATAAAAATTATCTCAGGTCTGAATATAACCTCAGCTTTTCGACATGCAGGCAACTCCATTATGATAGCAAGTTCTGCAGCATGGTTATAGGGCAATCTAGATGAGGAGCAGGCAAAAAACACAGCCCATGGACAGCATCCGGCCCACCAGGCAATTCCATCTGGCCTCTGGGCACCCACCCATTAGGGAACATCCCACGGCACACAACCCCCACCACCAGCAACAGCGGCAACAGCAGACAGGGGCCCTCAGGGCACTCGTGGCCTGCCCAGGCACTGCTGCCTGGCAATGTGCGGCTCTGGCAAGAGCTGAACATGGCGGCAAGGACTGCAGCAAAGTTAATATGGCGTCCATCCTCCCCTCCCCCTGCCAAAGGAGGAGTTCCAGGAGCAAGCGGAGGGACTTCGGGTGGCAAAGGTCAGGGGTTAAGGATGGGACTGCCAGTCCCAAGGTTGACATGGGGGCAGGGCACCGGTCAAGGCACAGGGCTACCTTTGCAGCCCTCGACAGCTCACCAAAGCTCATTAAGTGCCCTCCAGCTGAAATAAATGCCCACCCGATCTAGATGCTCATGTAGATCCCCAATTAAAATTAAGTGTTAATAAATAAAAAAATGAAAACCAGATTGACATGAACCTGAGACCTGAAAAAGTATGCACTGCATTTGAAAGACTGTCTAGACCCATACCAACCATGCAGCTGGTCTAATAAAATATATTACCCACAAAAATCCTTGCCTTATGTCCTTTTATTAAGTTCCTAACACATTATTCTGGATGTCAGAGAAAGGATATGCTGGCAGCAAACCAGTTATAACTCCTATTGAGTTTCTGCTATGTATTCCCAAACCCTTTAATCCTGAAGAACAACTGTTACAAAACATAGATCTAAGTGGTCACAGACAGTGAAGATTGTCTGGCTTACCCTGTTAAACACCGGCAGCATCATATAAAGTTTCTCTTCCTGTTCTTTCTGAGTCATGTGCCGAGGAGGATGACAAAGTTCTGTGAAGAGGCGGCGCAGGTGCATCAGCCCTAAAGCATTATCCTGAGGGCCGCAATCCTCCTGCCGTGGCCGGCCCATGATCCTCTTCACCATATTCATCTTTGTTGACTTTGGTAAATTCCTCTCTATCCTGTTTAGAGAGGAAATCAATTAGTTGAGTGCATAGACTAGGGCAATGATCACAAATCTACTTGGAAAAGAAATTCAAAGTGTTACTATCCCAAACCCTACCACAAAGACAGCAGCTACTTTTATTGAAAGTACAAGATAATTTTATGCAATACGAATCTAACGTTACATGTCAGGAGGAGGAAAACTGGATCTTTTAATTTCAGGCTTCAAGTTGGTAACGCCAGGAACCAGAAAAGAAATTGCTAACTCCCACAATATAGAATATAGCCGATTAGGTATACTGTGTTGACAAGCACTGCTTATTTCTGAGATTGAAAGACCGATACATTCCAGAACAAACTAATTTATCGTAAATCTTTACCAAAATAATTCTAGAATCTATGATTGCGTACACCAAATTGTAAGCTATACAATTCAATCACGAGTCAATTCAAAACACCAAGATATTTGCTCTACGATGAGACTAACTACAGAATTACCCTCTTTTTTCTATCTCAGTGTACAGGCTTCCAAAAACAATGGTTTTCATTTCACATCCTGAATGTACTGCAGGAAACAGCAGACCAAGGGAAATTTCTACAGCCCAGACAACAACTCTGTGAAACAACCTTCTTAAGCCAGGCAAGCATTTATAATTAGCATTACATTGCTAGAAACAAAGAATGCAAGCAAGCTACTAGGACTGTGTGAAGCTTCAGTAGCTGATTCGATTCAGAGGAGATGCAGCCCGATTCGAGGGCTGAATCTCCGAATCTGCATCGAATCAGGAGACCAAGTAAAAGCTCCAAATTAATTCGGAAAAACTTCAGAAAAAAAAAATTCAGCCGATTCGGAGATTCAGCCATAGACTAAACAGGCAGCTAACAGCTGCCTCCAGCTGGTAAGTCTGTTGGGGTTGGAGGAGGGAAAGGGCATGGGGAAGGGGCTGGGACAAGCTGCCCAGCCAGAGAGCAGGGAGGAACATTACTTGGGGAGGGGGGAAGCGGGGCATGGGATGTGGGCGCAGCAGCGCTAGGAACGGGGGCTCTGCCCTGCTGGTGCTTGCCCAGCTGGGAGGGGAGGGGGCCAGGATGCGGACACGGCTCGCTCCAGGCGGAAGGGGCAAGCAGCAGCAAGGTCTGGCCCCCGCTCAGAGCGCTGCCACACCTGCATTCCGCGCCGGCTGGCAAGCGGAGACAGGGCAGAGTCCCTGCTCCCAGCACTGATGTGGGCACAACAGCGCTGGGAGCAAGGGCTATGCCCCGCTACCGCCCAGAGCAAACCACACCTGCACTGGCCCCCTCCCATACTGGCTGGGTAAGCAGAAGCAGGGCATAGCCCCCATGGCTTCCCCCACCGGGGCAGAGGCAGGCACAGCCAGGGGAGCTGGGGGAAAAGCCCCCATGGCTGCCCTGCCCAGCTCCATCTCCGGCCTGGCCCAGCCTCCCAGCATGCACTAGCTGCAGCAGAGGGGATCAGGGCCTCTGGGCGCTCGTGGCAGAGCCCTCCTGTGCAGCACGGGTCAGTGGGGATTGCCCCCCTCACCTGGCACCTGCACAGCAGCTGCCCCATGGTGCAGGTGCAGCACGGCTCAGCACGGGTCTGCGCACCGCTTGGGAGCTGGGGCCGCTGGGACTGAGTGGTGCCAGGCTCCGGCTGACACACGGAGCCAACCCAGCTCACCACCAAATCGAACAGGGAGCTGAAGAATCTAACTGGGGGATGGGGATTCAAGCCGGCTCGGCTCCCCAGCTCCTGGCTCGATTCGCCTGGGAGCTGGGGTGGCTCCACGTGTCAACCAGAGCTCAGAACCACTGAGCCCCAGCAGCCCCAGCTCCCAGACAGTGCGCAGCATCCTGCCGAGTCGCGCTGCACCCGCGCAATGGGGCAGCTGCCGTACAAGTGCGGGGTGGGGGGGGGGAATCCCTGCTGCCCCCCACTGTGTGTGGGGGGGCTCTGCCACAAGTACCCAGAGGCCCTGATCCCTGCTGCCGCAGCTGGTGAGTGTGGGGATTTTTTTCTTCTTTTTTTTAAATAAAGCTCTGGGGAGGCTAGGCTAGGCAGGGGATGGGGCTGGGGAGGGGAGGCCTGGGGGCTTCTCCCATGGCTCCCCCCCCCCCCCGAGGGGGGAGGCAGGCACAGCCAAAGGAGCTGCCCAGCTGTGCCTGCCTCTCCCCAGCCAATCCGAATCACTGAATCTCGCCGAATCTTCTGAAGCTGATTCAGCCGAATCAATTCAGGAGGATGATCCGAATCTCTGAACTGAATCACTGTCCTCCAAATTGACCAAATCTGAATCAAATACTTCCCTATTTGCACAGGCCTACAAGCTACATCTCCAGAATGGAGAACTCCAACCTAAAAAAAAGGTTCTAAAAACAATTTAGAGGCCATTATGGACAAGCTATGCAGGGCTTGGACAGAGAATTCATTAAACCCAGCATAAACTACACTGCTTTTCTGCACCAGTGTAATCAATACTGGAATCCAGAAACCAGAGATGACCAGATCTTCCACGGTAGCTGTTGCACTAGGCACAATTATAGCACCTCGCCACTATGTGGCAGGGGACAGAAGAACAGACAGCCTGTCTGCATTAAGCTAACAGGTATTCCAAGATAAGAATGGGCACATGTAAGAACACACTTACACTAGTGTATTCTTATGGCTGTTTTTCCCCCAAGCAACACCACACTACTGTAACATATGTCCATCTGTCAATGCAAAATCCTTATGTGATGCAGTGGCAAAAAGGCCTAACATCACCTTTGTATTTGCATGCAACGGAAGAAGTACACAGAGACTTTTACCTCCATATCTACCTAAATATGAACCTGCAATCTAGAAAATAAAGTATCCATATCAAATTACTGTGAATAATTACTAATAAAATGAAAAATAAAAAGCGTATGAGACCTAAAAAGACCCCTCTGCCTGCTTGCATGAATATTTCACACATCCATAATTAATAATTCAGTAAGACACCTAATATTGCAGTTCTATCATAGCATTCTGCCCGACTGCAAAAAAGCAAAAAATCAGAAATAGACCATACCTAATGCTAAGGAAGACTTCAATATAATATGAAAAATGTACACACAAAAACAAGAACTCATACAAAAGTCAGAAATTATCATCCTAAACTTGAGATTCTCTTTGGCTTTGTCTCTAAGGAAACATGATAAGACAACCCTGTAATGTTTTCATTTCATCAGCTTTAGAAAAAGTAAGGCCTGTAATAAATTTCAAATCAGAACAGTATGTTACATCCAAATATGTTTCAAGTTGAAACAGACAGTGCAATTTTCAGAAGAGGCCAAAGCTCTCCCAAACTTTTCATGAGACTTAATGATGTTACTTCAGTTGCTTGTTCTAATATGTAAAATCCAGAAAAATCAAAATAGATTATTCTGCTTCAAAATAAATAGGGACATTTTAGAATACAGCTCTTCACAGATGAACAAACTCATTTGTTTTGTTTCATCTTAATGAAACCTGACATTTTGCTTTCAGTATATAGGCAGGAAATGCTGAGAACTCTAAATAAAACAACATAATAACTTCATGTTTGCATGCAGGATAGCAACAAAGCAAAATGTTGTCAAGGGAAGAGAGAAATATTTGGTAGCAATCTTAGATCTTCTGCTTATTAACTCAGTGGGCAGAGGTGTCTTTCACATTCTTCATAAACATACCCTAACCACAAGGTATTAAGACTGCCTTGTCAAGCCTAGCTAAACTGTGTGCTATGAAAGAACTTAACCCCTACACACCTTCCCGTATTTAGCACCGACTTAAAAGTTATTGCAAATCATGAAGACCTTGACTGAGACAGATAATAGAGTAAACACATCCAAACCCATTTAAAATATGGATAGGCTGAAAAGAAACATAACCTTGCACTGGGCAGCTCTGAATGATCCCTCATCTAAAAGAAAAGCTTAAAAAATTCTTAAGATTGGATTCCATTCCAGTTCTACAAAATTCTTGTGCGCCCATGGACAACAGTTCTTCGATTCAACTTCCTTGCAAGTTCCCTGATCTAACCTGAGTATCTGAAGATCAATTCACTGCACTTGAATGCATAGATGCTACAGTACTAAAGGACAAGTCAACACCTAAACTGCCTGATATAGGTCTCCATATTTTACTTGCCAAATTTCTGATGGTATTAAACATTTCTCAGTCAGTTAATCTGTACAGCAAGGAAACAAACAAATGAATAAATCTGTGTATATGCCATTACAGCCAGGACACTTCATGGAATCCACCATTTGCAGTAGACTTCTAGAAAAAGAGTCAAACATTTACACAAATTGCTTTTATACTCTTCTGTATCTTTCCTTTCACAAATCTGAAGGCTCCAAACAGAGAGAGACCGGTATTAAAGGAATTTATGCAAGAACAGTAGCGAAATTATACCAGGTCAAATTCCTAATGCAGATTGCTGTACTGGATATAAATACGGCTTTCGTCCATGCACCTTAACCTGGTAATATATCATATTAAGCCATACTGACATAAATCCTGCTCTGTTCATGTAGCACATCTGCATTAGGACTTTCCACTGATATAACCAGATGAATTACTTTCCTGCTTTGCATATTACAGAGTACATATAATCAATGCAGAGCTGCTTTCCAGAGCCTGCTATAGACAACATGCAAAAAAAAAATCACTAAGGGTAGAAACAGATGCGTATCGCCTGACATTACAGTCAGTGCCATAGCAAGGGGGGGGCAAGTGGGGCGACCGCCCTGGGGGCCGAAGCAAAGGGGCACCAACAGACACTGCCCAGATGGGGAAGGGTGCAGGACGGAGCCACGAGTGGCCCGTTTCGGGGGCTGCGAGGACAAGGGGAGGGTGGCTCCTGTTGCTGCATGCACTCCCAGGCAAACATTGGGGGGTGGGCATGTGCCCCCTGGATCTGTGTGTGGGGCGAGGGAAGGCTGCTGCTGCTGGCTTTGCCCCAGGCACCAAACTTCCGTGCCATGGTACTGGTTGCAGTCCCACCACCAT